CCACTTATTGTATATATATATTATATGATGTCCCATGGTATACAGATATTTGCATTCTGTTACAAAATAGTATCTTTAATTTTTTTTCTCCTCAACTTCAGGTCCAGTTATTACTGTACAGAGCACTGTCAAACCATCTTCTCCTACCCTGGCCTAATCTGGCCGAGGGTGACCAAGACTGGCAGTCCAGGGCAGCACACCATGAAACTTTCATTAAACAGCTTACAACACAGTACCAACAACTAAAGACTATGGAGTCTCTGGCACAAAGCAAGAGCTTACAGGATCAAGGTAAGTTGATGGATTGTAGATGAGGCAGTGTTCATGTGGAATTAAGACGGTACTGTTTACAAAGCCTTTGGTATATTTTAATTAATGCCACAGGCCTAATGTATCAACCCAAACACCGGTTCTTTAATTCAACAAAGGAGTTAATATTTAACTGACTTTTTTCATCCTAGATCAAATTGCTATTATAAGTGAAGTTAGAAGAGTGTTATAAGAATTTGGTATATTTCTATTTTAAAAAGCTTTCGCCTGTTTTTTTGCAGCCAAGCCGTGTGTAAAATGGACCCTCCAGCTTCTGACTGACCAGGTCAGTTCCATAGCAGCAGATGTGGTCAAGTCCAAACAGATCTGTTGCCAATCCATTCATGAACTCATTCAGACTACAATGACTTTGTTTCCTGTCTACATGCATCAGACAGGTAAGTCAAGTCTACACCTCATAGTGGTAGTTGTGACGTCAGTGTTGGTTGTACTTTGGTGTTGGTGAACATTGAAAAGTGACAGTAATTCTGTGCACTGGCTCATAAAAAAGGGATTGGCTGGGTTTCTGAATTTAAAGATTTATTTGATTAATAGCATTTTTTATGAATCTGTACAAGAAGGGAGATTTTTTACCTAAATATTGAAAATCAAGATTAGTTTGTATTTAAATATTTTATGACTTTACATTTCACTTCATTTCAGATGTTTTGGATGACATGCTTGGGTTTTTCCTGACAGTATTTGAGGGCCTAAGAGTGCAGATGGGGGTGTCCTTTACGGAAAGAACTATTCAGACATTTATGAGTCTGTTCACAAGGTTCATAGAAGTTTGACATTTTCTTGCAATTGTTCCTTTAATATGAAGATATTTGGTAAATTGCAATTTATTTGAAATGATGTGTTTTAACTGTTAGTTTATGTAGTAATTTGCATTTAATTACATCATGTGAAATTTCATTTAACTGAAGAAATGAAAATTTAATTTTTATTTATTCATTTTCTATTATTTTCTATTCATTTAGAGAGCAACTATCAGAGATTATCACAAATGAAACCAGTACAGGGTTCAGGGTAGTAGAGAAGTAAGTTACCTACAGATCATTTGCCCTGTTACACGTCACAATACCACTGTCAATGCACTTTCACTGCTGACATTCAAACATTTACTCCATAAACCAATGGTTTTAGGTTTTATTATAGATCATTTGTGTAAATAACTACAAAAATAGAACGTCGGGGTAAATGTCTGGGCAACTAACACAACATGAGATACCTTCTTTGTGAGATGTATAAATGAACATTGAAATAGAACTCATTAATTTGCTAGGTTAAATGTTTCATCCAAGATTTCTTGTACAGTGACAGAAATAGTAAAAAAAGTCACATTTTATATCTATCCTGTGGCCAGGTTCCTGAAGATCCTCCAGTTTGTGGTGCAGGAGCCAGGGGCTGCATTCCGAGCATTCCTTCCTGGTATCATAGTTATCTGCATGGATCAGATCTATCCCCTGCTTGCTCAGAGACCCACTCCAGACATCAAGGCAACATTCTATGAACTCCTGTACATAATACTGTTACATAACTGGAGGTATTTCTTTAAACCTGGTGTGGTAAATGCCAGGTCGTCAATTCAGACAGCAGCTATTGCTGCCACAAGCAAACAAAATGAGCAGGTGGAGCATCAACCACAGTTTATCAGTATTTTACAGGTGAGCTATTGCAGTCGTAGGAATGTACACTTAGAAAAATGTGTATTATATCTTGACCAGTCTTTTACCATCATATGAGTTTACGTCATTTAGGCAGGTTCAACATAGGAAAATTGACCAATTTCAAGGTTATTTCATAATTGCATGTATTTTAAGGACTTTGACTGTGAAAGATTCTTGTTTAATGGTGTATACAGATTCTCAAAGATGCGTCATTGATGAGCAATTGCTAAAATTGTTATGTCTGTTTTGACATACCAAATTGGTACAAGATCTGTTGTGGCTCACTTGTTCAACTTCATATACTATAGGAATTTTAGGTGTCACCACTGTCAAAATGTGGTATTGATATTTTCAGGCATTTGGACAGTCCTTCCTCCAGCCAGACATTGGTATATTCCGACAGAACTTGGAATACCTGGAAGAACTGAATGAAAAATGGAAGTTGTATCAAAAAGTAGGTTCATGCATGTCATGAGAAATATAAGTAATATATTTAGACTTGTTAATACAAATGTCCCCCTTGTTATACACTTGTTTTATTGGGATGAACTCCAATAGTTACACAAACCTGTGTAGGCTTTTTCTTTTTTACATTAGGTTTTTAAAAAATACTCTCTTTGGTTTGTTCAGGAAGAGGATACTCATTGGATGGTACCTTGAAGGAAAATATAACCTTAAAAACAAGAAAAAATGCCAGTTATAAGTACTGAAAACATATACTCTTTTTATTTTTCAGAACATCTTCAAGGAAGTGATGCTGTTTCAGTTTCTCAACGTTTTCATCCAAGTGCTCATACACAGGTCACATGACCTGCTCCAAGAAGAGATTGGAATCACCATTTACAACATGGCAGCCGTTGACTTTGACAAATTTTACAGTGCTTTTCTGCCACAGTTTCTGAATGGAACCGAAGGACTAGATGAAAACCAGAGGACCATTCTGGCTCAGAATTTTGAAGTAGATAAGGTAGTATAACATTGTCATGAAAGGGTTTGACACTTGATACTGTAGTGCTTGTTAAAAATTTAACAGTTCATGCTAAGCCATATTAATATCATTATGAAATTAATGAATTTCTGACCTTATCCATCAGGGTCAAAATCTTGAATCTGTCCTTACAGCTATCAAAACCAAATTAATGCCATTTAGAAATATAAAGCCAGCATTTAACAAGTTATTTTCTATTATAGGATTTGCCAACATTTACCCAAAATGTACATCGGCTAGTGAATGATTTACGCTACTACCGTCTGTGTAATAGCAGCCTCCCAGCTGGATCATTCAAGTTTGGATAAAAATGAAAGTTATCAATCACTAAAAGCTATATATACAATGAAATAGCCTAAGGTGCTGTGCCAGAGCCTGGGGAAGTCTTTTTTCCTTTGAGGAAGAGAGTTGGACATTGTTTTTACATTCAAGTAGGAGCCAGTATTGGTGAATAATTCTTGAAGGACTTTGAATATTCTTCCATTCTTGCAAACCTATATGTTGTCTGTTTCGTTCATTAAGGCTGTGCTATGAGACAATGCCATAGATCATATTTAATTGAGGTAGGGGCAGCAATGGTGCACTTTGTTGTAGACTTTTTTTGGCAATTTTGGTGCTCATAAAAATATTACAATTAAATTTTACTTTGTTTTCACATTTTTTGGTATCGATAAATTGAACGCATGCAACCTTGTATTTATGTAACTATTTGTTTGAAAATAACTGGAAGCTTTGGTTAATCCCCTAAAAGTCATTCTAAACTGACAAAATACTTTATTTGCGCATGAATCAATTTATGAGTTTAGTTTATAACTTGTGCAATAAGCAGAACTAATATATCTGTCTTGATTTGATTGTCATTATATATTGGATTTTTTACATGTTAACCCACATATCTGTCTGGCCATTACCATTGTATAATATTTTCATGCGACTGTGTAGACCATGCTACATGATGTGGTTCTGTAACTCAATTCTACTCGTTTTAATCATAATGAATGGAGCATTGTCTTGTATTCAAGAGCAAGCTATTTAGAGAATAGTTATTGGAAGAATTAGAGGTGAATTTCAGCAGTTTTGCTTGATCTTATAAAAATAATTATATTTGCCAAATGTCTTTGGCTTGTGAATAATTTCTGTACAGTCTAAAATGTATTGGTTGTTAATAATAAAAAATTTATATCATGGAAACGGGTTAAGAGTTCTGAGGGGAGAAATGGATTTTGTGCTATTTCGAATGTGGGCCCACGGATTTGGAAAAGTTTTAAGATAAATATGCACAACTGCAGCAACTAGTGATACAGTTGCCTTGAGGTTGTTCCCACACAGTCTATTTTTAACAAACTTTTGTTCAGTAAGACGAGTGTGGCAAAATTCTACCCAAAATACATGCATCACTGTATCTGGAATCACATGTTTGCTCACCATACAGGCTAGAACTGATGAAGACTGATGTTCTGGATCAAAAGGCTAGTTGCATTAAGTCATATTGCCATTACACCTGGAGTGATAAAAAACAAACCTAACTTTTAATATCAGTATCTCAATAATCTCTTATAATTCAAATAATTCCAATCAATGTTGCCTCTAGTTCATAAAAGTTTTGACTCAAACTTTATTAAAGCTGTGTAGCATTTGTTCTAAATTGATGCTCAGAGAATCTGCTTCAACATTAATATTGCAAGGTGAGAACTGTATAAGACATTGCTGATTCGAATCTAAAAAATTGATTTGCAAACAAGATGCCTGATATACAGGTAAATGTGCTGTGTGTTTAGCAGACCGAAATAATGACAAGGAGAAAAGGATAATGGGGTAAAGGGAAATGACTGGTATACTAGTAGACAACAACCTAGATTACCAAAGCATGCTGATTTGCAATGTACTTCTATTTCCTGGAGCATTTTTCTTTTTGAGGCGTTTCCTAATTATACATGAATCTGATCAGTGTCATGTCAGTTAAATTTCATTTAGTCTACTCAGAATTGTTGTATGTGGTACTAAGACACTACAAATTTGCTTTATATTCAAGATATAGCATGCTGTGAACATTTATATAACTTGGCTCAAGAATTTCACATGTACTGTTGTATGCACTGTAAGCAATCAATAAGCATCAAATAAACTTATGTCTGGTCCTCAAATTTCACCTTGATAGGCTTATGATTTATGTCATCTAAAAATTTCATAAAATCTGAGGGCGTGATCCCAGTACTTGCTGCATTAGACAAGGGGTGAAAATATATCATCTCATGTTTGCCATTGACTAAATCCTCATCTACAATGAAATTCACATCGTTATTTGTGTCATTGATCAATGCAAATGCTGTCACACACCCTTGCTTCACGCCAAGTTTATCAAATAAGATTTCCTCATCTGCAAGTCTTAGTCCACCAGGGGCCCCAACCATTTTTGCCAGTTCATTCAGTTTTATGTTTCTGTCGTGCACAGCGGAGCAGAGCCAAAGTTTTTTCTTTTTGTCCTTCAGGAAGAGGTTTTTTGCAGCTGTCCCTTTCAAGTTTTGTAGCTCAGGCTGAGACATCATGGCTTCAACAGTAAAAACCTGAAGAAAATTGGTTTCATTATAAATAGGAGCTGTTGATTTGACGAGAGGCTATAAGTGATGCTTAAATTGCGTATTTGAACACATTTTTAAAAATATCAGTTCCACGTATCAGTTCTAACTATTCTACACGCATCAACCAAGGAGAACTGTTGTAACTCCTTGCATCAACCAAGTCAATAAATTGTTAGTGCTGTGAAACTCCGCAATAAAACGGTAATATAGTGGTAGGAAGAAACAATTATTCTTGCTCTAGCACTCTTATTTACAGTTTCTGGTGTGTATTAAATGCACTACGTATATTATCAGAAAACGTGAACTACATGTACCACGTACTGTACAGTATAGGCCTATATTGCAAGCCGAAACTAAATTGAAAGATAAGCCCACAAGTTATGAAAGACGTGAGGTGGACTTTATTGCTAACTAATTACCTCTTGGTGCTCAATTGTCTTGGTTGTAATTCCTAGCTCATTAAATTTTGCCTCTAAATCTCCTCTAGTTTTAAATCGCGCCATGGCTCTCGTTTCAGGTGTGGTATTGACTACGTGTAAGCAATTCCCTGTATTTCCGGTATGTACTCCATGTTAGCTAACGCGATTATTCATTTAATCTTGAGAGAGAAGTGAAATATACAGCGGCATTTTCTACTTAATCATAGGGTCGTTGATCTAGATCTATAAAGTAGCAAATAGAAAGCCCTTTTATCAGATGTTCAGTTTTTATAGGGGTTTTTTGGGGATGTTTTTTTTTTTTTTTTTTCAAATTTTCATATTAATTTTAAATGATTATTTACATCACAAAATTTACCTGCTTTTGCTCATAAAGATCTTTTATGAAAGAGAAGGAAAAAAAACTGACAGAGACTAAACCAATTTGTTTTGATCAAAATATTCAGCCAAGTAAGGGGAAAGGGACACATATTTATATCTTTCAGTAGATCTATGTATTTTGTACACAACAAATACTAAGTAAGTAAGTACTCAAAAATTGTAGATGAAAAGAGAAAAAAACATTACAATATTAATTTTATCTTTTTATTTTTCAAGACTTTCGATATCAAAAGGATAGTGAAACAGAAATTGCATGAAACTGCCTGATCTAGGTAACAATAGGCTTGCACTCCAAATTGTTTTCAATCTTTTCTTCAATCTTGACAAAATCCTGCTGAGTAATAATAACCATTTTTAGGATGGCAAAGGGAAAAAATGGCATTTCATGAACTTTTAAGACTAACATCTTTGCTAATTACCAAGTATTTTTCTCATCACTTATGTAAAGCAGTATATGTGACTTTCACTGTAATCATAATTTCATTTTCTTTTTAAATACCCTGCACATATGTCTCAAAGGTACGTCTCTCTTTTTTTTCTTTTTCGTAATATAACCGATTTTCTGATACAGACTTCACAATTTTGCCTTAGGTGAAATTGTATAGACTGCACATACCACCCTTTTACTTGTCTGTGAAATACATATGTATAGCTGAATTATTTTTCAAGAAAAATATTTCATGAGGTCCCTTTCATTATGATATTAGCTGGGATTTGAAACAAATTAAATAAATTTCTCAAGTGTTAGCATTTCACAAACTATTTTGAAGCAAACACAATATTGCACACAAAAGCATAAAGGAAGTAATAAAACAACCAATATCCATATTTTGAAGAAATTAAACTGCCTTAAAGTCACCAATTTTCTTTGTTCTTCACCTAATGTTACCACAAACCAGGACACAAAATAATTAAAGCAAGCAAAATATGACCTCCATTCCTCATCCTTATTGCACATACAAGTGATAATAGTAATCACACACTTTTAAATACATGTTAAAAAATTACATCTAATAAAATAGTCACTCAAAACTCACTATACTGGGATTTAAAAGAGAGAGAGAGCGAGGAAATGCCCCATTCCGCTCCTTCCTCTTTTTAAGAACAAAAACAATACTCCTTATGGAGGGGTTCTGGGAGGAGGGAGGGGGAAGGAACAAGCAATGACCTCAACTCTATAACCCTGATCCATTCACACTCCACATTTTTCTATTTACAGTTACCCAAATACATTCTCTAGATAAACCTCTATATCTATAAATATACATAATCATGTATCAACAGTGTAATATGGTATGTATAACACAATCTACTTCATAAATCTGTTCCATGTATTTACCATGCTGAAATTCTCTTTAACAATAATATGCACACAGCACAATGTTGATCAGCCCAGTGGACTAATTGATCTACCTAATCTATGTACATTATAACAGCATATAAAAGACTTTCACACAATAATAATAAGAAAAAAACCTTTGCGACATAAAATCTTGTCTGGGCTATAGCGAATAGAGAGAACTGAAACCAATGCCTAAACTACTCATTTCACACTTTCTGCAAGTAAAATGAAAAATAAGTGATTTTTTGGTCAATATCCATCAAGAAATATTAAATACTGAACAGTTTTAGTGGTTTTAATAATGAAAACCTGGCATGAAATATCCCATTAATCACAGTTTTGAAATTTTACATAATCAAAACTAAAGCCTCAGCTCCAATCAAACTAGTCAGACAACTACCCCACTTGACTACTCAATAAGCTAACAGGTAAATGAAATATGAAGCTTTTTAAAAGCTAAAACAAATTAAAGAAATATCTTATTATTTGATATGTGACACATCTAGGTCTTGCCTATGAGGTAACATATCTTCTTTTCTCAACTCCATTAAATTAAATTAGAAACACAGAAAATAAAACCAATTTGTTAAAACTAGATGATGAAAAATTGTTTTTAAAACATGTCTTTCAGCAACTGAAAATAATCCCTAGATCTATCTAATATTTATGTAGCTAACATTTGACTAGCTGCTACAATGTCACTCTAACTGAGCCAAAGCCTTAAAACCAAAATTTCAGTCAGACTGAAAAAGAATATATAGTTTTGGCTTCAGGAAGATGTCCTGATTGCAGCACTCTGCTTTGTTATCTTTTATTGTTATCCAAAGCATAGCAGCCACTGCAGTGAACAGTAGTCCCAAATAAAGACACCTGTAGGATGAGCAGATTGCAATCAAGTATCAACATCATGAAGTGAAAAATCAATCTTTTATAAGGCTGCTCATAACCCTAAAAACAGGAAAAGAAAGTTAGATGTTGTGTCATTTATGTAAAAAAAAACAACTAAAAATGAAACAGATTGCTGCAAAGGAGGAGAGAGAAATTTACTGTTAATGCTTACATACTGGCCATACTAGGTTCAGGTCACAGTATGTACAGATTCAAAGGAAAAAAAACTTGACACCAGGTAATGACAATCTTACTCTGTGGTTGACCATGTTTTAGATCAAAAACCTGAGAAGTGTTATGAAGGCCAAACTGCAATAAAAATACAAAGCAGTCTCATGCAAAGCTGAAAACATACCTTTTTAGCATTTCTAGTCTTCTTTAAAAAAGATAAAAATAAAAGAGAGAGCATGTAATACAACAGCAGGAGAAAAATGAGTGATTGAATACAATAAGCATTAATTCAAAATAGTCAAGTGATTTCTCATATAATCTATATTAACTCCGCCCATTCCATTATACAAATTACATATGAAGTATAAAAATTCATTCATATAATAACAATAACCCAAAACCAGAAATGAATAAGATGTTGTCCACATAAAAACCTATGGGAGATAATATTTATAAACCATAACAATCTTATGCTAATTTCTAAAAGCTGGCACATTATCATCATAAACAAATAATGAGGAGATGAATGATGCAGTCTCTTTTATAGGGATGAAAGCTTTGTGATCACATTTGAGTTAACTTAACCTATACAAAACCATTACTTCAAAAAATTCACTCACTAAAATGACATTATTAATCAATGCCATTGTAGCTGCAACTCTGTATGTACAAATATTCCAGTCTCCAAGCATAAATAACTATACTGGACTTTAATTCTAGCACCTATGGTCCCAGCTGAAGAAGCTTCCTAACTTAAGTGCTTACGTCTTATTTTTCATCACAGCTAATGCTTAATAAAACCTGTTATTTAGTTCCCTGTCAATTTATCTATTTCACCACCAGTGACTGACTACCAAATGAACAGAATTTTCTTTCCTGAGGGGTTACCTTCAGCCCTTGTGGTTAAGAGTGACAAGGACTCTTTGGCATGTGACCCTCTGTTGTATTGCAAATATATATATTTGTGACACTGTGAGTTATAAAGGATCATTCATCATCACTGTCTAGAATGATGGTTTCAGATCTTTTTTGCCTTTTTGTGGCGGATTCTCCATCCGTATTTGAGCCCGTCAAAACATGCTCTGTCACTATGGATTCTGCATTACCTGCATATCCATTCCCTGTAAGATCAATCTTCCTCTTGGTTCCTCTTGGAGAAGTCCTTGTGGGGCCATCTACTTTGTGTTTATTTTTTGATGCTACCTGCCCTCTATTGTTTTCTGTTGATGTGTCAACAGCAGTGACAGCATCAGGCATTAGAGCTGCTATCCTGGCTTCCCTGAAGCTAAATATCCCTGAACTTTCAAGATTTGTTGGTGGATTAGATGTGAAGTTTTTCAATGGCACAAAGCCTGTGCTGCAAGTACTAGCATTTGAACTGTTTGAGGTGTTAGAAGTATTGGACAGGTTCCTAACTGGGGACTGCCTGACAGGGGATTGTCTTGCCGGGGACTGACACAAATGTTTGGTGGGTGTCAGAGAGCCCAAAGAGGCAGAACTGTCACTGGAACTGCTCCTAGCATCATTAGAACTCTTCTTAAGTTTCCTTCTCTGTGCCAGGGGCGCCTTTGCCACATCCTGGAGCCGGAAACCCTCCCTGGCTGCCATGTGGAAAGCATCCATGGTTGCATGAAGCTGGAAATTAATGTGGCCACTGGACAAGGTAAGAATATCTGGTGTCATCAGTGGAGTTTCTGAGAATATCTTGTCATCATTGCCTCTCAGCCACTTACTGCGAATCAACTCGCGCATTGAGATACGTCGCCTTGGGTCTACAGTTAGGAGGCCTAAAATAAAACAAAGAAACTTTCTGTAAATACTTGGTTCCATGTCAGTTTTTTCAAAATCCTTATAAAAAATTTCTAAGTTTAGAAGAACTATATTTTGTCATCTTTTCATTGATAAAAGATTTAAGATATAATACACTAATAACACATACACACCTCTTACCCTGATAGCAAAGGAAAACTTTTCTCAAAAATAACTATATATATATATATATATATATATATATATATATAACTTAATTGGTGACATATACTGACATTTAAACAAGTCTAATTAACCTTTGGATATATGTTTTATAGTGAGATTTGATCTTTCCAGGGTTACTCCTATGTTGCACCATCAATACTCTTTGGGCAGAATGTCTTCACAGAGAATTTCCTGAAGCCCAGTCTAGAGAATAGACCACAAGACAAAGCAATTGGCTTAGCTAGTCAGTTCAGGGTAAATATATAAGGATATTGGTAGTCATTTGAGCACAGTTAACCCCTTATATATATATATGCACAATCCACAAAATCACCTTTTATTAGTTTCTTTGCCTCCTCTGACACCATATTCCACTCTTGCCCAGAAAATGTAAATTCACCTTCCTTTATTTTGTGCATTATACTTGCTGCCCTTTCATCTTTGCTGTCAGTTTGAAATGGAGCCTTGCCTGACAGCATAGTGTACTAGAAAGTAAGGATAACGCTGTTAAACAGTTGCCTGAGATTAATATGGCTCTGTTTGAAAGGTTTTGCATAAATAAACAACTACACACTTAGAAATTAATGAAACGTCAGTCTTCAACTTTACCAGTGTAACAGAATCAGTCTACAGGATGTATACACTTTTTTCACACATTCTTAATTTTGAAAGTTTTTTCCACATATCAGTTCACCAAACTCACAAGAATAACTCCTAAACTCCAGAGGTCACAAGATTCATCATAACCACTTCCATTGTTATTATTGGATGTCGTCTTCAGCACTTCAGGTGCAGCATAATGGAGAGTGAAACAAGGCGTCATCATTGTCTGATTCTCTGGCTTCAATCGTGCAAAGCCAAAGTCAACAATTTTGATATTCGCAAGCTCACTTTCATCTTGGAAAAGCAAGTTCTGAATATAAAAGAAAGAAACATATGTCTACACACAATATTCCATGATGATGCATTTTTATAGCAAATTCGAGACCAAAAAAATTAGCAACATGTTAATAGTTCCTCATGTAACTCAGCTTTATGTAATTACCTTTTACCTAAAATTAATGTAAAACACACATAACTTTCATCAGAAACAATTTATTTGTTGACCATTCTTATCTCTGGGACTGAAACACTTTGTATACTTCTCTCTTGCAACCAAAATAATCAAAATGACATATAAACTCATTCATTGTAACCTATCTGATCTGCTTAATATCCTCCCCCACTTACCTCAGGCTTGAGATCTCTGTGGACAACCCCTTTAGAGTGCATAAACTGCACAGCAGACACCACTTTCCTCATTATTTGACTAGCTTCCGTTTCCGTAAATCTATCTTTCTTCTTGATCCTCTCCAGTAGCTCTCCGCCCCTGAGGTAGTCTAGAACTAGGTAAGTATGTAACTGGAAAAAATAACAAATATTTAATATTAACTCTAGACCTTTATAACATCTATTTGGAGATGTACATTGCATTATTTCTATATGTACAAATAGCTGCCTTGGATCTCAGTTATTTTTAGTTAAACAGTTTTAATTTCTGATAGATCCACATACTTGATTTACCTGTTGACTGTTTTATCTGTTAAACAAAACGTTCAACAGGTAAATCAAATATGTGGATCTATCATATATGTAAACTGTTTAACTACGCATTCTGTTTTAAGTTTGATTACAAACACTGCCTACACCTATGCCCCAATTATATGGAGGATATTACCTCATCCTGGAAAACATCATGCAGTTCTACTATATTGGGATGTCCCTGGCATAATTTCAGTAGGTTGATCTCCCTGCTAGCATCCATCCTGCGACTTATTATTTTAACTGCTCTCTCAGTGCCGGTCTTTTTTAAATAGCATTTCCTGGAACAAAACAGCTAATGTATACTATGGATGATACTAAAGCATGTTTACTGTGTTGTTATTAAAATTTGCATTTAATGCTTGGTTTATTTAGTAATATTATCAAACAGACCCTTACTGAACTAAGACAAACATTTATGTTTCATATTTATAGACAGCAGTGTTTCCATGTGATATTCATTACTTGGAACAGGTCATGTTTTATACATAACAGTGATATCATCTTCATACCTGCAGACTGAGAAACTTCCATCACCTAACAAACCGGTATTTGTTACATCCAAGTCATAGTTTTGGAAGAACAGCGAAGTCTGAAACAAAGGTAAATGGCATTTAGAGATTTAAAAATACACACGCACAAATAGAGAGAAAGATGGATAACAGATGATAAATAAATTAAGTACTTAATAGTATCAACTAGGACTGCCTGTATACCAAATTAAAAACCCCTTAAGGGGTTAATTGTGCTCAAATGACTACCAATATTCTTATATATTTACCCTGAACTGACTAGCTAAGCCAATTGCTTTGTCTTGTGGTCTATTCTCTAGACTGGGCTTCAGGAAATTCTCTGTGAAGACATTCTGCCCAAAGAGTATTGATGGTGCAACATAGGAGTAACCCTGGAAAGATCAAATCTCACTATAAAACATATATCCAAAGGTTAATTAGACATGTTAAAATGTCAGTATATGTCACCAATTAAGTTTCATTTGTCAACAACTATAGAAATATTTATCAATTGTAGTGTGTGTGTGTGTGTGTGTGTGTGTGTGTGTGTGTGTGTGTGTGTGTGTGTGTGTGTGTGTGTGTGTGTGTGTGTGTGTGTAAGCTTCCAGCGCGTACTTACTGTGAGTGTATACTTCTCACAACATCCACTAACAATTAAAACACCTGAAATCAATCCAATACAAACTGTAGAGAAGTTCACTGGCCCAGTTTACCATGAACTTACCTTGAATATTTTCTCAGCATCCATTGGCACCACAGCAGGAGAATCAGCTGGAATCATGGTAGTGAATTCCTCAGAGAAATTACTAGTGTCCTCATCGTGTTTGATCTTAGGTTTAAATGGAGCTGCTATCAACTTATTAGCTAGGTCATCCCAATTGATGTTCTGAAAGGAGAGTTTTGGTATTGCCTGTTGTGAATGACTTAGAATGATGTGCTTAAGAGTTCTAACAAGATCTTCAACAAATCTTCCAAAGATTCTTAACAGAAAAAGATTTGCAATAAGCAGGTGAAGTGTCAAAGAAGGCAGAGTAAGATATTTCTGCCAAAAAATCAATGCTTCACAGTACCTGACTCTCTCTACATAACCTTAACACTTTGCTCCACCCCCATCCCCCCAAAACCATCCTCCAGTACTCTGCCAGACTCTGTTGGAGCCTACTGTCAATACCTACACCAGGTCTGACTAACCTTGAAGAATGGGTGAGCCTTCACATCTTCACTTCCATCAGCACCGAGCCGTTTCTTGGGATCTTTTGTCAAAAGCTTCAGAATAAAATCTCTCACTTCAGGAGAAAACTCTCTTGGCATTGGTGGCTGACATTTCAGTATACGTCTGAAGTAACAAAAAAAGGTTGCCTTGAATCTAATTTCTGATGGCAATAAAAAAAGAACATTTAAAGTTATCTCACAGGGAACTAACTATGAAAGACAAGCATTAGCTTTTCAAGTTATATTTCTTTTCATGTCTATTAATAAACATTTTTTGTGATAAAAATGGATCATAAAGTATCTAAATATCTACATTCAAATATCAGCAAATTTACTTACTTTGAAATTTCTGATTGAGAATTTTTCTCCCCATCTACTGTAAAAGGTGAGGCTCCTGTTAACAGTTCATAAGTGAGGACACCTAGTGACCACCAGTCCACCGTCTGAACAAATAACGAAAATGTTTAATAGTTCAATATCAAGTCATATCTTAAGGAAAATGTCAACTGTAATTAGCCAGATAGAGCTTCCAGGTTTTAAGACTTGTTCACACCTGTGTCAGCATTACTGTTTATGTAAAACATGCATCATTATTTACTCAGTTCCTATGTTTACAAGCTTACATGCTTTCCCATGTTAATGGCGACTTTTAAAAATAACAAACAATACTGTAACACATAATTTTGAATACTGTAAGACTTCAAATTACACCCCACACATGCTTCCAGATGCTTCCAGGTGAGATTATTCCATCAAAAGTACTTTATCCTATATATCTTTTAGTTATATAATAAAAAAACCTAGTCACTTTACTGGCATGCTCCCATTTAGATTTCTTTTGAAAAATGGCATAAAAAATGTTATATTAAAATGCATCACTCAATTAAATGTCCCTCACCTTCATTCTGCCAATTGTTGAACATGAGGATTGTATAATGAGTGAGTGCAATCAAAGTGTCCATTTTTTTTTTATTAGTTGGTCTCAAAGAGGTATAAGTTGTGCTGGTGCTGGACATAGTCATACTCACAAAGTTGTGTCCCACAGTTCCTCCTCTGACCACCTCAGGGGCCATATACTCTATAGTGCCACAAAATGAGTAAGTTCTCTGGCTCTGAAAAACATATAAAATTATATTGTAATTATGGTAATTTCAATTAAACATCTCTTTTTCCAATACTTCAGTTCTATGTGCCATCACTCGTGAACACTAATTTTTTCCTCATCTCTAATGTTTTTCCTCAAACAAACAGGAGATTGTCAAAACAAAAGCCTGCAAAAAATTCTGAAACCATATCAAACAATGGTCTTCACTCAGTGAGTGAAAATTCTTCCATTGCCTAAGCTTTCTCACAGATTAGTAAAGTATGCTTTGCCAAACAACTGATTCATTCTCATTACCTTACTATTATGTTGTACATATTCTCTTTTAAGAATAACTTAATGTTGACCTTCATCATTTTTCCAGGTTGGAAATAAAATACAATAAAAATATGACAAACCAGACAGCAAAAATTATAAATGTGCAGACTGATATTCCAGTAACAAGCATGAAGTTATCCAGTCTGCAAGAAAGATGAAGAGGTACAGGACTTATTGTCATTTTGGACATTACGTTGCATAAAACCATTTTTAATATTCAAATTTCAGTATTGTTTACATTTACAAAATGTGACCAGAATACAGTTTAAGATCCACATGGTTACATAGTGACACCTGAACATGCCAGCATGGTCGATTCCAGTCCTATCAATAAATTTACAAAAATTACCATTACTTGTAAATTTATAATCCTCTATTCCAACTTGTCCCGTTTTTCACATCCAAAGAAATGTTTAGCAGACATAAGTGACTACAGGGATCAATGCTGAAGTGATGGCTATATGTCCAGACTACAGCCTGTACATAAAATATTTAAGTTTCCCACAGAAGATTACATTTTCCCTACTTCTTTCCTGTCACCTGTTATTGAGATCTAACATACATCCATCAAAAGTAGAACAAAATCACAAATGGATTAATTAGGGGAAAATGGTGAATTGTATAACATTGTTAACAACATATTAACAGTGTTGCATTAGTAGCTAGAACAAACTTGGCAGGAAACAGTCTAGACAGTAAATACAAATATGACAATGATGCAATATTGCTTGCATCATCGGGGAGATATTACTTCAGCAGTAGTTTTTTTTTTTTACCAATATCACTATATGTGTGTGTGTGGGGGTGGGGGGGGGGAGTATGTGTGAGCATGCCCACAAGTGTGGGTAAAAACTGGCTTACTTTTTCATGAGGCAAAAATTCCTTGCTCAGTCCAAAATCTGTTAAAACCACATGCCCGTCCTTGTCGAGTAAAATATTCTCTAACTTTATATCTCTGTAGATGATGCCCAGCTGTAAGAAAAAAATATATATATAACAGTAAGTTTTTATAAAATATGTCCAACAAATAAGCATGTACTGCAATGTGGATAGCATGAATCATCCACATGTGTGCACGTGTGCCTGGATCCACTGAGTATTTCAATATGCAATCAAGTAAAATAAGCCATTCAATACTGCACTATACTCATTTCAATTACCACCAGACCTGCCCACATTGTAAACTGAACACTGATTGATCATAAAATGACTGTTTCCCAGAATTTTTACCTTAGAGGCTGCATTTAATAATAAAATGTTTCAAGCTTTTTTTGTCAACATCGTAGACTTCTGAATCCAACAGTACCAGAGCATGAGTTGCTATTTATAATTACAAGCCTGTCAGTTTCTTTTAAAAGCTAAAATGGTGTATTTATATATTATGTGTTTTTTAACACAAGTGAATGTTTATACTAAAGTATGTTTATTTTGTCACAGTAATATTGTAAGCATTGTTTTTCTAATTGTCTGGGAGATGTAAAAAAAGTCTCCTGTGGCCTTACATGTTATATAGTTCTTTGGCAGTGTTAATGTCCTCCCCAACAATCATCTACTTCCCAATCATATATCTTTCAAATTGCTTTTAAATGAATGCGTTCAAGACCAATTTTTTCTCCACTTGCCTTCCTTGCATTTTCACTTTATGCAAATGCCATTTTTGTATATATTAGTAATATCTTAGGCATGAAAGCACATGCTATGTAAAAATACAAAAAAAAATTCAGAATACAAAATAATGCAAGGTATCTTTAAAACTTAACTTTGTATTAATTAACTATTATAATTCACTTAATTTTACAATTTCTTATTGTCTCCATCCCCCTAATTATGCACCCAGGTAAGAGTTTGCTTCAGAACATAAGCAAATCCACATTCATATACTAGTAACTGCCTAGAGCTCATATATTCTGCAGTAAACATAAATGATGTAACAACCAAAATATATTTTCATTTTACAATGTGCACATTTGTCCCTACATAGCCTTTAAATATTTTGCTACCTCTGTTGGGGTTTCTCTCTCATTTAAAGTTACTAGTACACAGAATAACTTCAACTAGAAAGCATCTATAAATATCTCAGCCTAAATGACATCTTTTTTTTTATTTCAACAGAAATCACTCTTTTCAATGGGCCATGCTTTGAATTCTCAAAAACAGGTTTAAACACTGAATGATGACAAAATATAAGACTACTCATATTTTGAACAGCTGTTAGCTCAGTTACTATGCCAGTTATTTGCAGCTGTAAACTTGTTGCTTTCCTTCTTGGCATCTTAACCTGCCCTGCAGTAATCTGTGTGCAGATACGAGGGCATTTGTCATTTATACAGGTAGCTCGTTAGGAGAACAAGAACACCTTTTTTTAAACAACTTCAAGGGAGTAGACTAGAACACCTTTTAGAAATTGGGGATATCATATGAAAAATATACAACTGAAAAAGGAAGAAATAAAACATCATCTTTGATAAAACATAAGTATTAGACAGTGCAACAAGAACATTCTTTTTTTTTAGTAAGGGTAGAATGAAAAAGAGCTTGTCATTCTTGTAGGCCAAAGCAAAATTTTCTACATGTTACAATTTTTTTACAATTCAAATTTTTGTACACTTATTTCTGAGAAAACTGTTATTAATACCAAATAACAAAACACATTTGAAGCTAAAGATCATGATATTACCTGTTGTGCAACTCATTATAAAGCAAATTTATTATCCCATAGTATAATGAGGATTTTAACAAGCAGTCTAACCATAAAAAAGAGTCCCTTGCTCACACAGGTCATCTAAATGAAGGCTACGGGGCTCAATGGCTAAACTTTTGCATGCAAGTCAAGTTAACACTATACCTATTACAAAACTTGCACGCAGAAAACCAATACTACACAGTACCAATAAAATGTCCAACTTTAAGTGATGAAAAAAGTAGGAAATCCTATCATATATCTACAGGTGTACCTACAGGTCTACCTGTTCTTTAATGCGAAATGAGAAATTATTTTTTTAGTTCCAGTATGTGCTGACTAAATACACCACTTAAACTAATTACACCTTCATTTCATACTCAGACATGTTTTTCTGTCCTAATTGGTACACAATTCTCTAAAATGAGCACAGATCTGAAAATGGAGAGGAGACTCCAATCAGTGAAACCTGTTAGATTTGCTTTTGTGTACATGAATGTTCAACTCAGCCTGGTTTTATACCTTATGCAGAGTCTCCAAGGCCAGCACTATCTCTCCGATGTAGATCTTCACCTCTGGTTCCCTGAATTGTTCACGCTGGTACAGATGAGTAAATAACTCACCTCCATTCACATAGTCTACAAAAGAGAAAAAATAATGATGAAGAGGTAACTCATAAACAAATTAAGATAATACATATGGAGAGGAGAAAAAATTGCTTCAGAAATTCTGGGTATTGGTATTGTATACAGGCCTTTATTTCCCCATTTTATTTTAAATAGCCTGTACTAATGTCCCATGTTGCATTATTTTATAGAGTTATAAAATTATGACACTAGTTCAAAATTGCACTTTACACTAATTAACCTTCACTCTGTTTAAGAAGTGTTAAAACATGTTACTGTAACATAAATGATATACCTACAGGTTGTTTGACAATTTTTTTAAAGATATGGTAATTAAGTACAAGGAAACTGATGAAGGAAAAAGGAAATTCAGTAACTGCATTGTGTTGAAAAAGCTTGATAAATTGCATTTCATGCAAAATTACTTTTACCCGGCCTAGTGGCATTAAAACATATATTCATAAGGCATTTTAACTTAAGATTTTTGTACAGTTATGGTGACTGAATATAAGGAAATTGTTCAGGAAGAAGGGAAATCAAGTAATTGTATTTTTTTGTACTAACGTATGGTTCGAGTGCTTAGATAATGTGTGAGTGAAAAACAAACTCCCATCTGCTGAGTCTGAATGACAGAAAACATAGAGACAGTGGTTAAGCTCTTTTCATGGCACTTATATGGCACAAACTATAATTGAATCCAACTGCAGAAGTACAGTAAACAAATGCATATTTGGTCAAAACCTTTAACTTATGTGGATAAACAGTTCTGTGATGGCAGTTGCTTGACAGTAAAGTCACAAGTCAAAGTGCCTGGATATTTCCTGAAAATGCCTATGACAAAAGTGGTGTGAGTGTGAGTCTTCTAAACTGAAGGGCAATCAAGGTGAATCATAGACAACCTTCCATAACCCTAATTATCAAAATAGAATGCAAACATAACACTTCTGTCCCATCTTGATAGGCATGCTGAGGAAAAAACCCTTCAAGCCTTCTCGTGTCTAGCAAATTACAACATCCATGATGGAGCATAACTGCTATAATGATAAGACAAGCATAATATTAGGCTCTTGGGCATATGAAAAATGATAAAACTCTGTTTTGTACATCAAAGATGATCCATTACACTATGTCAAGGAACATATTCTAAGAAATGAACTATTTTCATACCTGATCAATTGTCAGTGAAGTTTTTTGTTTGTCTTATTCATATTCCAAGAATGAGAGTATCGGAGCCCGAAAAACATAGCTATAAATAGTCACAATCTGTTTTTTTATCAGATTGAGATAAGTAAGGATGACTTATTATTATACATCACCTCTACAAAGATATTGTTATGAGGTGTATTGTCATTGTACTTCACATTAAACATATCACACCTGCATAAGAGAGGGTAAGAAAACCCTGGTTAATTACAATACCAATCCTTTAAGTCTTAATATAACATTAAATCTTGGGTTGACAACTCTGCAGGTCATGATCAAGTTAAGCTCACCACTGGTAATGACAGTAGACAGAGAACAGGACAGAAATATTATTTATATGACAAGCCTACCTTAATTAGAGAGAACCCACAGACTTTTTGGTCAATTGCAATTGATCTCCATAAAGGTGCCTTAAGAGACATGGACAAGAGAAGTGTTCTTTTGCTCTAAGACAGGAAGATGGCACAAATATCCATCAATAAATCAATTAATACTAAATACTTAGTAAATTTATATCACCTTGTATTAAATCATTCTTTCTTAAAGGTGTTCAGCATAAGATTTTCCCAGGGAAAACTCATACTTACAGAATTTTCCTGGGGTTAACATTTTACTCCGACTAACTAACCTTTGATCCCCTTTTCCTGACACTTAACATAACTCTGTAAAAATCTGGGGTAATTTTAAAGCCCTAAAAAGTCCTCAACCCTTAAGAGTGGGTATTTTTCAAAATCCGCTATCCCTTAGAGATCAATTCTTGCCCTGACTTCTGGGATGCACATGAATCAAAACTGTGTCAAGATAGTTGACAGGGTTCATCAAGAGGTGATAAATTATTTTGGCAATATTTACTCATAGTATTTATCTGTTAAAATGTTATCAACATTAAATTTATAAAACCTGCTTGTACTCGTATAAGTTCAACAAGAAGTGGTCTATGTATCAAACATGTTAAAAATCTCACACTGTATTCCTTTTAAAACTTATTTAGTACACATCATAAAGTGTGTGATAGCATGATAAAATTATTACTGCAAAAGAAAATAATGAAGTATTTTGTATAGTTTTCAAGAGCTCTTCTATCAAGACTTAACAATACACACTGCCCCATATAACACTTTAACCTATCAGACCCATGCTGATTATATACATTAGAATTAGAATTCCATGAAATCTGAAATATTATACAGAAAAGGTATTTTTGGATAAGTGGGATAAGGTTCAACACCTTCTCCTGAGATGAGCAGCCAGGCAAAAATATATTTCAATTCTCAATGTGAACCAAAACAAAAGGTTAGGGCAGAGGATAATATCAGGATAGACTATATATCACCTAATTTAGATGAGGAGTATGCATTATAAGCCAGATGTTCATATTAACAGACTTCACTGTTCTTTTCTCCTCCACTGTTTTCAAGGTGAAAAGTTACTGCTGGACGAAAGCCGATTAAAATGTAAAAACCACCTGTTCAAGTAGTTTTCTGTGTAACTCTCATGTATGGTAACCAGTGTAATGTTCCGCAACCGAGTTAAAGTGCAATTGGGTTCACCAAGGTTAATATTATGCTTCTGACCTCAGGAAATCGTTCCAATGGTATCAAATCTGATAGACAGCCTCCACTGATACATAAGTACAATTGTCCTTTCCTTTGTTTTACACAGGAAGTAATGTGCTGCAGCAGCAAATCAACATGCACTTTCACACAGCAGTACCTTCATTGCAGGCAAACTGTATATGTTTTAAACTACACTTTGAAAAAAAGAAATTCACACATTAATGTCCTTGTTAATGTTTCACTTGTCTTGGTGCTTTTAATGAACTTGCACTCAACCATAATTTACCCTCAGCTACCTTGTGCAAGCCCCATTAATTATACATAACACACAGAGTCAAGCATATATTTTGTATAATTATCTTGAAAATGAAAAACCAAAAGCTTTGTATAAAAGTGAATTCAATAAGCCATATCATATCCACTTCAATTCAAGTTTAGAGAGGGATCCAATAAAGTATATATTGAATAAATACTTGGGTCATTTAAGTTCATGTGCATGATATATACTCATTAAACAATGAACAATGCCTTGCCTACAGTCTCAGAGAGTAAAAAACTGTAGGCAATTTATGTTGTGTCTGTAATGTAAAATACCTGTTAAATAGCAGTTTAAAACAAAACATAAAAGGATATTAAACAGTCAATCCTTTCTCAATATCCATTTGTTAGGTGACCTCAAGCTACAAGCAACAGATGATATCCTTCCAGAGCATATGTCCACAATTGTGGATGTATCACATCATTTACATGATTCTAAATAAGAGGGTAGCACTTAATATCACATTAACTGTTTTTAAGCAATAGGCAGACATCCTAGTATAATGAAATTTGTCTTCTGTATCTACACATGCTCTCTACTAGACTTTAGGCCTACCCAACTACTAGACTCGGCACCGAATGATCCCGAATTCACCGGTAGATCAGATCACACTACCCATTTTCAGTACTGACACACTGACACCCTGCAGGGGCTAGTCATTAAATCTCGGCTCAATTCAACCGGGCGAGGGACGATGCGTGAGGAGGCATGTGAGAGATGGAGAGGTCATTACAGGATTAAGTGGTCTTCTTTTCATGTAGGTCCGCCATATTTAGGTTGTGGCCTAGCTAGCACTCAGCTCTTCTCATTCTGAATGGCCTCTTAGGCCCCATTCAGAATAGGGGACTAACTAGTCCGAGGGTCAAATATGGCGACCCACTACAAAGCTTACCATCCAATCCACCAATAGACACTGAATAGATATCCCGTGGGGAAGTATTCAAGTGGGTCGGCCATATTTGACACCCAGACTAGTTAGTCCCCTATTACAAATGGGGACTAAGTGATAACAAGGTTAAACTTTGTTGTAAACCCTGAATTTAAGACCCAATGCAGGCCAGCATCTTCATTTTCAAATTTCCATACACAAACCGCTATTTGCATCTGAACTTGAGCAACAATTTGATTGAAGTTAACCATGTCAATCTCAAATGCTGAAAGGTTTATATACTTTATCATATGCCCTTCAAAAGAACCAATCAATATGGATGACTGGATGGGCATCTGTGACTGGTGAGGTAAACTTCAATCAAACCAGCAGCATGAGTGTCAGTGTTTGATAAGTGTGAACATGTAGAGGTTTGAAATAAAAAAGCCTGTATGTATCTTACCTAAAGCTCAGGAGAAACTTTGTTTAATTCCTTAAATAACCATATATTTTTGGTATCATCTTTTCTTCAACTCACCAAGTATAAGGTGAAGCTTGGCATCTGTTTGGAATGCATAGTGAAGGGTGACCAGGAATGGTGACTGGCGAATGACTTCTAAGACCTGGCGTTCCGTCTTTGTGTGCTCTGTGGTCTTTGTTTTCTGTACAATGCTGGCTTTTTTCAATACTTTCATGGCATATAACCTCTCCTTATCCCCTCCACGAATTTTTTTGACTAGGAATACTTTGCCATAAGCTAAAATGGAGCAAAGTGGAAAATGGATTAAAATGGCATTTTAACCTTTTCAGTATCTTTCTCTGGCACATTTGCATTTCTGAAATTTACCAAAATAGAGTCTTTTCCACGGTCACGTGACTTCCGCTAAATTATCCGTGGGAACGCGAGATTTTGCGGGATTTGAAGTTTCAGGGGGAAAGTGTGGAGTGTACACGACGGACGCCATATCGAGGAGTGCTCATTTCAATCTGAATTTTCAAAGTTTCGTAACATGTTAACACCTGATTTTTTTTCGAAAACATATTCATAGGAGCAGTTGGAATAGAAATTTAGCAGAAGTTNTTTAAATAGTCACAATCTGTTTTTTTATCAGATTGATATAAGTAAGGATGACTTATTATTATACATCACCTCTACTCTATTGTTATGAGGTGTATTGTCATTGTACTTCACATTAAACATATCACACCTGCATAAGAGAGGGTAAGAAAACCCTGGTTAATTACAATACCAATCCTTAAAGTCTTAATATAACATTAAATCTTGGGTTGACAACTCTGCAGGTCATGATCAAGTTAAGCTCACCACTGGTAATGACAGTAGACAGAGAACAGGACAGAAATATTATTTATATGACAAGCCTACCTTAATTAGAGAGAACCCACAGACTTTTTGGTCAATTGCAATTGATCTCCATAAAGGTGCCTTAAGAGACATGGACAAGAGAAGTGTTCTTTTGCTTTAAGACAGGAAGATGGCACAAATATCCATCAATAAATCAATTAATACTAAATACTTAGTAAATTTAAATCACCTTGTATTAAATCATTCTTTCTTAAAGGTGTTCAGCATAAGATTTTCCCAGGGAAAACTCATACTTACAGAATTTTCCTGGGGTTAACATTTTTCTCCGACTAACTAACCTTTGATCCCCTTTTCCTGACACTTAGCATAACTCTGTAAAAATCTGGGGTAATTTTAAAGCCCTAAAAAGTCCTCAACCCTTAAGAGTGGGTATTTTTCAAAATCCGCTATCCCTTAGAGATCAATTCTTGCCCTGACTTCTGGGATGCACATGAATCAAAACTGTCAAGATAGTCAAGGGTTCATCAAGAGGTGATAAATTATTTTTGCAATATTTACTCATAGTATTTATCTGTTAAAATGTTATCAACATTTAATTTATTAAACCTACTTGTACTCGTATAAGTTCAACAAGAAGTGGTTTATGTATCAAACATGTTAAAAATCTCACACTGTATTCCTTTTAAAACTTATTTAGTACACATCATAAAGTGTGTGATAGCATGATAAAATTATTACTGCAAAAGAAAATAATGAAGTATTTTGTATAGTTTTCAAGAGCTCTTCTATCAAGACTTAACAATACACACTGCCCCATATAACACTTTAACCTATCAGACCCATGCTGATTATATACATTAGAATTATAATTCCATGAAATCTGAAATATTATACAGAAAAGGTATTTTTGGATAAGTGGGATAAGGTTCAACACCTTCTCCTGAGATGAGCAGCCAGGCAAAAATATATTTCAATTCTCAATGTGAACCAAAACAAAAAGGTTAGGGCAGAGGATAATATCAGGATAGACTATATATCACCTAATTTAGATGAGGAGTATGCATTATAAGCCAGATGTTCATATCAACAGACTTCACTGTTCTTTTTTCCTCCACTGCTTTCAAGGTGAAAAGTTACTGCTGGACGAAAGCCAATTAAAATGTAAAAACCACCTGTTCAAGTAGTTTTCTGTGTAACTCTCATGTATGGTAACCAGTGTAATGTTCTGCAACGGAGTTAAAGTGCAATTGGGTTCACCAAGGTTAATATTATGCTTCTGACCTCAGGAAATCGTTCCAATGGTATCAAATCTGATAGACAGCCTCCACTGATACATAAGTACAATAGGAGCTGTCCGGGATAGCCTATTTTGAACATCTGCGCAGCAGATGACGTCAAACGAGACCTGGATTGGAGCGAGATTTCACGAGAGGTGGGGTTAAAATCTGCCATTGAAACTTCTCTTGCGGTCGAGCACAAGTCTATGTTATAGGATTGCATTGAGTAAAATTTGGCGTTGTCATGTAATTTGAGATAGAGCAACGCAATGGCGAATTGCTAATGTTGTGTCGTAGGGTGCATTGCAGTTAAAGTTAAGCGAGAAAACCAGGAAAATGACCATGGATGACGGACACGACTGGCGAGAGAAGTGAAGTGAAGAAAGAGAAGTTGGGCTTGATTAGATTAAAAGGACTAAGTGCCGACATATTTAAAGTACAGATCAGGTCGCAGTATTTTGTAGAAAAAAAGGGACCAACTGCAGACAGCTCGCACCCGGCACGTCACTGTCTCCATGGCATCACCGTATAGACCGTATCATCAACGGTCGAGGGGCATATTAATAAGTAAGTTTACAGGACACCATGGTTTATTAATGTAATACAGCCCTAGTACTTGTGATTAATAGTCTTTTACGGTAACTATATCAGACAAATTTGCTTGTACCATTCCTATCTCCATATAACGTGTACCTGATTATAAAATACTGGTGAACCTTCCACACCTATTAAGCATACACAATGTTCAGTTGCATTTGTAACATTCCATGCCGGGTGGTCAGTAATGATTATTGCAAGTAAGGTAGAAATTAGAGTTGGTATTTTACAACAACGTTTATCACATAATGATATATTTCAGAAAACTAAGTGAGTTATTTTTTATTTATTTTAGAGCATGACAGACACAGCACATGTTATTGAACCAGGCATTATCAGATGTTGAAGATTGCTCCGTGTATATTAATCTCTTATGTCCTTAGTTATTATGTTGTTTACTTAATTATATCAGGAGTCAACATATGGCATTTTTGTCTGGGTGTCACTTACAGTATCAGGCATTTTCTTAATTACTTTAAAATGAAATATTTGGTTTTATGAATATATATATATATAGGCCTATGTATTGTACTGCACTAGTAATTTAATGAAGAAAATAATTTTTCTTGCT